GGGGGAGGAAGGGAGGAAGGAAGGAAGGAAGGAAGGAAGGAAGGAAGGAAGGAAGGAAGGAAGGAAGGAAGGAAGGGCAACAGCACTAGCAATAGCACTTAAACTTATATACTGCTCCACAGTGCTTCATAGCCCTCTCTACATGGTTTACGGAGTCAGCCTCTTGCCCCCAACAATCTGGGTCCTCATTTTACCCACCTCAGAAGGATGGAAGGCTGAGTCAACCTTGAGCCTGGTGAGATTTGAACTGCCAAATTGCTGGCAGCCAGCAGTCAGCTGAAGTAGCCTGCAGTATTGCACTCCAACCACTGGGCCACTGTGGCTTTTGTCATTTCAAGCAAACAAATGGTTCTAAGTCAAGTACTACCTGAACGTTGGCAGAAACAGCATCCCAGCATCAGGTATTCCAACGTGGAAACCAAAGATATACCCTAATATGGTCAGGTCCAAGTTTTTCCCAAGCTGAGTGGTTTTTCTGGCCCACTGTGATATACATGGAAATGACACAGACAAACACCCGTCCCTTCTGCTTCTCGATACCTGATCACAATATCGTATTTGTTAATGACTTCTCCAATGGAGCTGTTTCTCAACCGGTAGCCGTTCCCAACTACTGCACATCGTCGGCACTTCAAGCTGCAAGACAGGCAAAAAAGACTTTTAACGCACCGCACACATCACCCTGCTCCAGTGCATAGCCCTCACTGCCGAGGGCCATGAAGCAATGCGAGCCCCCCGGGAACCTCTAGATCAGGGTCCCCAAACATGGCAACTTTAAGACTTGTGGACTTCAACTCCCAGAATTCTCCAGCCAGCATATTCTCCAATTCTGGGAGTTGAAGTCCACAGGCCTTAAGGTTGCCACGTTTGGAGAGCTCTGCTCTAGATAGATAGTCCTGGAGTTACGACGGCAAGTAGGACTGGGATGGCTGTAACTAATCAGTGTGATAGTAAGACATGATGTCACAGGTTCTTTTAGGGAGCTAAAGCTCCAGAGGGCCAAACATGCTCCCTTGGCCTTTAGGCAACCCACAGCCAAGCACATAATGGGTGGTAGCCACATTTCCTACGCACACACACTTTCCCCGGAACTGTTACTATATAGTACTATTTTACACCAATGTGTGAGCCCTACAATTAAAGAACTGTAAGGTAAAGGTAAAGTTTCTCCTCACACATATGTGTTAGTCATTTCCCACTCTAGGGGGCGGTGCTCATACCCGTTACAAAGCCGAAGAGCCAGCGCTGTCCGAAGATGTCTCTGTGGTCATGTGGCTGCCACGACTAAACGCCAAAGGCGCACGGAGCTCTGTTACCTTCCCACCAAAGGTGATTCCTATTTTTCTACTTGCATGTTTCATGTGCTTTTGGACTGCTAGGTTGGCAGAAGCTGGGACAAGTAACAGGAGCTCGCTCTGTTACACGGCGCTAGGGATTCGAATCGCCGAGCTGCCGACCTTTCTGATCGAACAAACTCGATGTCTTAGCCACTGAGTCACCGCATCCCTTTTTGAAGAACGCAACAGAAATCATCTTCCTCTCTCACTCCTTGAACACCTTCAGCACACCTTCAACACACACCATACCCAAATGTCTCAAAGGTGCTTTTTTGAAGAGGCAACTGACTTCCTGGTTTTTCTTGGAAGACCTTTCACTTCTCATCCAAGAAGCTTCTTCAGCTCTGACAGGATGGTGGGGAATGGAAGGACCATCCGATCAGAGCTGAAGAAGCTTCTTGGATGAGAAGTGAAAGGTCTTCCAAGAAAAACCAGGAAGTCAGTTGCCTCATGTAAAACAGCACAACCATGACCTGGATGACAGACAATCTCCAGACACACCCTTGTGTTTTTTATTGCTGCTGGTTGCTGGGCAGCTGGGACGGCTCAGGGAGAGGTCTTAAAAGGGGCAGGGCACTGTCAGCCCAGGAGCTAACCAGCTTTCCTATTGTGCATGACCACACTGCTTAGCAATGAGGATCCGGGCAGTTGTCCTGATCTAAAGTTGTGCAAATGGGAAGTGTTGAGAATTAATTAATTAAATTCGTACCCTATTTGGCCAAGTGTGATTAGACACCCAAGAAGTTCAGAAACTCTTCAGCGTACATGCAAAGCAACAGAATAATAATGGTAGTCATAATAATAACAGAGAGCAAAGGATAATGGAATGGAATGTGGTATAATGTAATAATACAACAAACATAATAAAGATAAGATAACATAATGTAAGATAAGATGATCGGATAAGAAGAAGGACAATTAATAGTACTACAGCCATACTAGATAGGTAAAGGCACATAGACGTTGGACAGCATTGTGAGAATTCCAGGTGAGGAGCAAACAGGGGCCATGGGGAGGGGGAGCGAGAGGGCGAGGGCGAGGACAGGAAGTGGTGCTACAGGCTTCTTACAGGCAAGCTCAGAGCCACGGGAAGCGGTTTAACAAGCGGTTGGCGCCTAGTCATGCAGAAAGCAGAAGTGCCTAAATAAAAAAGAAAGCAGGGAGGGGAAATTAAGCAAGAAGCAGAAGGGAATGGATAGAGGAAGTCCTCAAACTTACAATCATTTGTTTAGTGACCAATGTTTCCACGGCACCGAAAGAAGTGACTTAAAACTAGCCATCGCACCAGAGGTGGTTCTGACCAGTTCTGGAGAACCGGTAGTGGAAATTTTGAGTAGTTCGGAGAACCCGCAAATCCCACCTCTGACTGGCCCCACCAACCCCATCTATTCTCTGCCTCCCATTGAGTCCCAGCTGATCGGCTGGGTCTCCTTTTGTTACCTGGCACAGGAGAACGGAGCTGGAAAGCAGGTTAGCGGGGTGGGGATTTTGGAGTAACCTTCCCCTGCCACGTCCACCATGCTACGCCCACCAAGCCACGCCCTTTCCTCCCCCATAGATCACGCCATTCCCGTCTCTCCCTGATCCTCTCCTCCCTGCGTGCCCTAGGATGGAGAGGGGATGGGCCTGGGTCCTCCTCTGACTGCTCAGCCGGCCTCTGCCCTTCCCCAGCCTCCTCCACAACCTCCAGAGCCACACTCCCACTCCCTGTTGGCTGTTCCTCCTCTCCCTCGGAGTCAGTCTCTAACAGGGGCAAGTCCTTTTGGAAGTCTTCCATGAAAATCAAACTTCCCGACCCTTTAAAGCTATTAGAATAGTTCGTGTATTTGGCTCTGGCTAGTCGAAAGAAAAGAAGAATTAGGGGCAACATGATAGCAGGATTCCAGTATTTTGAGGGGCTGCCACAAAGAAGAGGGGGGTCAAATTATTCTCCAAAGCACCAGAAGGCAAGATGAGAAACATTGGATGGAAACTAATCAAGGAGAGAAGCAACCTGGAATTAAGGAGAAACTTCCTAATAGTGAGGACAATTAGCCAGTGGAACAGCTTCCCACCAGAAATCGTGGGTGCTCCATCACTGGAGGTTTTTAAGAGGAGACTGGACAGTCACTTGTCTGAAATAGTATAGGTTCTCCTGCTTGGCAAGCAGGGGGCTGGACTAGAAGACCTCCAAGGTCCCTTCCAGCTTCATTGTATTCTAAATTCTAAATGTTCTTTATATATTAAGTTGAAATTCTGTAATGAAAGAAATGTGTATATAGAAAGATGATAACGAAATGTGGAAGATGTCTTGACGTTGATATAACGATGTATAACGTTTTATTTTATGTTTTTAAATTTTGAAAACTAAATAACATTTACTAAATTAAAAAAAAAAAGAAAGAAATTGGAAATTTCCAAAGTGCTTCAAATCTAAGAAAGAGAAAAACGGGTGAACTGGTATTACCTTTGAAAGTTTTCAGGGAGAGAGTAAGTCGTGATTGCTAGAAGACGTAGGAGAATGTCCTCTGCAGAGCAAACGACAAGGGCAATCAAGTAAGCCGGTTAAGTTAATGTACACATTAGTAACAACAGAAAAGTACGGGCCAACTTGCCACACTGCCAACTCAAAATTCACCACGGCCAACTCACCGGGGCCAGCATACCACAGTACAACTCGCCATGGGAAAATTCAACTACTTTATTGATTTTCTGAAAAAGAAAGGTAGTCCTCAACTTACAACAGTTCATTTAGGGGCCACTCAAAGTTACAATGGCACTGAAAAAAGTGAGCTATGACCATTTTTCACTCTTACGACCTTTGCAGGATCCTCCCATGGTCACGTGATCAAAATTCAGGGGATTGGCAACTGACTCATATTTATGACGGTTGCAGAGTCCCCGGGGTCACATGATCCCCCTTTTACGACCTTCTGACAAGCAAAGTCTATGGGTTCACTTAACAACCGGGTTACTAACTTAACAATTGCAGTGTGTTCACTTAACAACTATGGCAAGAAAGGTCATAAAATGGGGCAAAGCTCTCTTAGCGAATGTCTCACATAGCAACAGAAATGTTGGCCACAATTCTGTCATAAGTCAAGGACAACCCATAATTAAAATATTATTTAAATTTTTGTCGTTCATATGTCATTCTGTCCCTCCTTTTGCATCCTTTCTTTTGAAATGATTTTATTTCACCATTTCTTTGACATTATGTAACTTTTGTCCTATGGAGAGTTGGCTGTGCCGAATTGGCCGTGATGAGTTGGCCATGGCAAGTTGTCCTACAAATAAAATAACCGAATTCACAAAGAGACACCCTAAAAAAGCCAGCAAGTTCATCGACTTGAGTTGATTGATTTAATTCCTCATACCTGTCAAGATCCTGCCTTTGGATCTGCACTATTTTTATCTTGAAAGTACTTAAGTTAATTAATCTGATAAGATTAATTGTTCAGAAATCTAATCTCCTCTTTGTGAATACAGTTATTTCTCCCATTAACTCCCATTTCTCTCCCATTAACTCCCATTTCTCTCCCATTAACTCCCATTTCTCCCACACTCTAACTGCTCAACAATCTGGTCCAGATAACGCAAGTATCAGCATCAAGATGGATGGTTTCTAAATATTTAGTTTTTAGATTTTCTCTTTTTTGGAAAACGGAAAACACTTTCCTCTGCCTCAGTTTTGCAACTCTTGCAAATTTTCCCCAATTCTTTTCAAGAAATATATTTGAACTCTTAAATTCGTAGCCCATTTGCAAGATACCTACTTCTTTTGTAATCAATCTTAACACATATTATTTAAAATACATTCCCTATATATATTTTCCTTCTCAAACTGAGTTCACCAAAAATAGATTTTGTAAACGCAGCTATGTATTTTTTCCAGATTCTTCTCGTTTTCTTTACGTGCTTAAATGTGTATTCATGGCTCTTTCAATGTAGGTTTATATAAGGGTCTCCAATATAGCATTTCCTGCCCTAGGAAGGGGTTTGGACTAGAAGACCTCCACAGTCCCTTACAACGTTGTTATTCTGATATTCACTGTTTCCCTTCACCAAAATGCCCGTTAACCTGGAACTTCTTAAATATTTATATTGAGAAAACGATAACAAATATCTCCTTAAACACGTTGCAGTCGACTTTGCTAAAATACAGGCTGAACGTCAGAACTTGCTTGGTCCCCCCTTTCTTTGAGTGACATAAATCTCAAGGTAACCTTATCACTTCCGACCAAAGGTTTGAATTTAACAATCAGGTTTTTCCTGGTAATCAAGCAGCCAAGGACAGCTGCTTCTATTGTTCCTTTTTTTTAATTTCTGGAAGATGAAAACACCATCAAGGTAATAAGAATAAATTACATGTCTTTTCTTAACAGGTTTTTTTTTCTCTCTCCAAAGGTCTGGTATTTAATGTATTTAAAACAGGGGTCCCAAACTCAATTTACTTGGGGGCCGCTGGAGGCAGAGCCGCACTGCAGACGTCATTTCCGCTCGGCTTCTACTTGTCAGCGGCTCCTGGTTTTGCCTTTCCCTTCCCAAGGCAACGCGGGACTGGAGCCGCGCGGAGCTGCGCCAGTGGTAGCAACTCCTGACTGCCCCAGCCAGACACCTGAGCGGAGCCCGGGCGGAACTGCCTGTTGCTGCTGTGGGCGCTGCTGCGGGAGTCTGGCTGCCCAAGTAAAGAACCGCACCAGCTCAGGGCAACTGTGAGGAGCAAGAGGGGAAGCCGGACCATTGGAGAAGCGGAGCAAAGCCGGAGATTAGTAGCTGCCTCTTTCGGCGCAGAGAGCTTCCCCCAACCAGCCGGCTGGTCTCCTCCTCCTCGGCCATACAGAACAAACAGGCAGAGAAGGAGGAGAGCAGCTGGCCAGTTGGGGGAGGCTTCTTGTGCTGCGAAAGAGGCGGCTAATGATCTCCGGCTTTGCTCCGCTTCTCCAATATCCAGCGCCACCCTGTTCTATGTGCTGGCTGCTCGGACTTGCCGGGCCCGAATGTCAGCCATGACGAGGAACGGCGGGCGGGACTTCCTTCAGAGGTCCATTTCCCCCTGCGGGCCGCACTAATATTATACTTTCATCTCATGGTGGGGGCCACAGGATATCGTCCTGCGGGCCGCAATTGGCCCACGGGCCGCGAGTTTGAGACCCCTGATTTAAAAAGAGATTTGTGCTACTAAATAATTTAATAAAATAAAATAAAGTTCAGCTTTTCAAAACACATTACATGCAGTATTATTGCATTGGATATTTAAGATAAACACTAGGTAATCCATAAAGAAATAAAGGGAAGACTCCTGATTAATAAGTAGAATCCAATAAATTTGCAACACAATAGACTTTTCATTAAATGGCTTTTGTATACAATGGCAGTACTGTCTTACACAAACAGAAACAAAGATTAGGAAATATATGCCATTCCTTGAACTGTGTTTAGGTTTTTTAGTCTGTCTCTTCCTGGACAAATAAGTAAATTGAATATATGTCACTTTTGAGTAACCATCTCAGTGATGTAGCATATATCTCAGTCTGGGGAAGTTGGGGACAAAATAATTTCCTTTGTTTTCTATTCATGGTTGACATACCAACTAAGGACAACTTTATTTTGGATCCATTCATGTGCAGTAAAAGTTTCATCTAGTGCATTACCGTCCACTGAACCTGTGGTCTATTAAGAGCAAAACCAATGAAGTTAGAAGTGTCACACGGTTGAAATAATTAATGTGGAGATTTCTTTTAAATGGACGGACGTGATTTCACGGTAGATAATAGTGGAATCATTAACAAAATCATACAATGACAAAATCACCCAGCTGTATAAATTCTGTCCTGAGATTAAAAAAAAGTATTTTTAGAGAGGCTAGCTTTGGAGCAGAAAAAGAGATCCATAGACATTAGACTCCAGATCATAACCATAACAATATTAGTGAAGGAACTTAAATAACTGTTCCTGAATTTTTTTTTTTTTAAATCTTTTCTGGCTCAAAGGTATTTTAAGCTCGTATCATAATGAGAGAGTGGATACCTTTGAGTCAAGCTTGATTCCTGGCAACTGTTCACTGGAAGCAGGTGTGGATGCCTGAGGTCTCGGAGACCGAGGACTCAGATGAGGGGCCCGCGTGTGATGCAGGGGTGGGACCAGGACCATCAGGGAGTGGAAGGCTGCCTTTGGAGATTGTGGAGGCTGGCAGCAGTGATGAAGAGGACCCCGAGGAGCCTGTGCCCAGTGCGTGTGCGTGCAGGGCTGCTTGAAGGAAAGAGCAGCTGCAGCAGCACAGGTGACTCGGGAGTAAGGCTGCAAGGTAATGGGCCCTCCCTTACGAGATAAAAGCCAGCTGAGAAACCGGAGTTCTTTGCAGGAAGCAAAGAAGTTTTTGCACTTCAAGCCTTGTGGAAGTTCAGACTATCTTGGTTTGTATTTGAATATTTCTTGGCAACTTAATCTAGTGCTTTTGGCAGCCTTGCACAACCTTGGCAAGGGTCATTCTTATCAGAGACAATTAGTTTTAATAGCCTTTTAACCGTGAATTAACAGAATTCGCAGAGAAGCATTAAAAGTTTTTGCTTTTAATCTCTGTTTGGTGTTTGTTTAGTTGGAACAAGGTTTGGGTCAGAACAACAACTGCCTGGATAAATCCCTACAGCAGGGGTCTCAAACTTGATTTCATTGAGGGCAGCATCAGGGTTCTGTTTGATCTTGGGAGGGCTGGGAGGTCAGCTCGAAGTCATTCATGTCAGGGCACTTATGGTGGCCCGAGTGCTCTTGCCAGCAAATATGGGCTCTTGAGCTCCATTTTTGGCTGAGACTCTGGCAAAACTTTGCCAGTGAAAACAGAGCTCGGAGGTGGGGGCACACACAACCCTTCTGAGCTCCATTTTCACTGGCAGAGGCACCATGAGCCGGTCCTTTGCTGTTTCCAGGGTGACCCCGTGAGCCAGATCTAAGCACCACAAGCCTTGAGTTTGTTCTTGGTAAGGTGTTGAAAGTGATTTGCTATTCCCTTCTTCCTAGAGTTGAGTATGTGTGGCTGGTCAAAGTCACTCAATGAGAGCGTGCACAGGAAGAGAAGAGAAGAGAAGAGAAGAGAAGAGAAGAGAAGAGAAGAGAA